ACTACAGAATCCCCTTAATATATCCTGTAAGGCCAGTTTAGTTGTGGTGAATTCCTTTAACTTTGTTTATCTGGAAAACCTATCATCTCTCCTTCAATTCTGAATGATAATCTTGATATAGAGAATTCTTTGTTGAAGGGCCTTCTTTTTCATTACATTAAATATTTTACGCCACTCCCTTCTGGCCAGTAAAGTTGCCACTGAGAAATATGCCAATAGCCAGATTGGGTTTCCTTTATAAGTAATTTTTTTCCTCTCTCTAGCTGGTTTCATTACCCTCTCTTTATCCTTAAACTTGTCATTTTAATTACTTTATGTCTTGGTGTTGTTTTCCTGGAGTTCCTTTTGTTAGGGGCTCTCTGTGCTTCCAGGACCTGGGTATCTGTTTCTTTTCCCAGATTGGGGATGGTTTCAGCAATTGTTTTTTTAAAGAGACTTTCTACCCCTTTGTCTCTCTCTTCTCCTTCTGGTACCCCTATTATGTGAATATTGTTTCATTTAGAGTTGTCACACAGCTCCCTTAGTGTCCTCTAGAGTCTAGTGATTCCTTTTTCTCTCTGTTTGTCAACTTCATTGTTTTCCTGTTCTGTAATTTCCATCTCATTGATTGTCTTCTCTACTTGCACTAATATATTATTCGTTCTCTCCACTCTATTTTTCATTAGAGTTACTGTATCCTTCAGCTCTGAGTGGCTCTTTTTCAACTCTTCTACCTCTTTTTAGAAGTCCTTCCTGAGATTGTGAATAACTTTTATGCAAATCAATGAGCATATTTATGACTGTTACTTTGAAATCTTTGTCAAGTAGATTGGTGATCTTAATTTGACTTGTGATTGCTTATTTTAATTTACAAAATGGGTTAAGACACTGTATTCCTCGCCATCTTTCTCCAGACTTGGCATCTTTTTGGAAGTAGGCTAAGGACTTCTTTTGAGTGATTCTTAAGGTTGAAAGGCATTTTATTGATGTAAAATGGTGTTTGGAGCATGAATGAGTAAGTAATTCAAAACCCTGTTTAAATGCAAGCTTAAGACTCTTACAAAGGAATTCCATATTGATGTTAGGCAACAGAGGGAATTCTGACTCCAAGGATTTTTCAGGAAAAAAAGTCAATCACTGGCCACAAATAAAAAGGGTTTTTTGTTTGATTTTTTTCCTTCAACAGATGTTATGGCCAGTGTTGGGTGTACTTTTGAAATAGCCAGCATTTATACTGTTCAAATATAAAGTAGAATATAAGATGAAATTGTAAGGTGATACAAAGATGCATAAGACGTTGGCTTTTGTTAACTTGGATGTCATAATAGACTTAGCATATGTTGTGAAATAGGTGGTCTTACCTGCTGTCATGGTAATACAGAATGCTCTGAGAGTTTCTAAAGGAACCCAAAGACTACCTTAATTCCCTCTAACCCTGATCACTCAGTACTGGCAATAAAGAGAGAATCTTCACATTCAGGGGTGAAAAGCCTTATAACCTCAAGTGTGGGTTACTGGTTTACACTTTATTTTTATAGATCTGTCTCCAGTCATTCCTGCCATATATGTACTGCACTCTGGCCCAAATATGGACCCATTACCTTTGCTTTATTTCCAAAGTCTTGCCAAACTGGGCTCTGATAGTTAAACATATATTTTCTAAAAGCTTGGAAATTACAAGAAGGACTTAAACACAAACATAATTACCAATTATAGATAATCTGACTCACTTGCTATATAGTTTTATTCTCCATGTCCTGTAGGCTCTGTCTCATTTTTACAGAATCTTGTAAGAGGAGAAGCAGCTCACAGTCCTGGAGGGCTGCCTGTCTGTGTGACTTCTGGCCTTCCCTTCCAAAATGCACCTCCAAGCATGGCTTGACTTTTGACATCCAAGGCCAAGGAAGAAGAAAATATTCCTTTTCTTTTTAAACTACAGTCTTCTTCAGTTTTACACCTATTATTTCATGACCTGTTGTTTTGCCAGTGAGTTTCAGCCCTAGACAAGTTCACTATGGACTCAGTGAGACCAAAGAAATGACAGTGGAACACCCTTGGGGTGAAAGTGTTTATACCCAACTTCATTCTCACCTTGGCAGGTCAATCACTAGAATCCTGTCCACTCAGAGCGAGTCTGAATGCAGCAAGCCGGTCTCTGCCTTTGGGCCTCTCTACCCCAGCAGCCGTTTCAGTCTCTGTCCTTGGTGCTGCCACCACTCCAGTCTCGTATCTGTTCTCCTGCAGCCTTGCAGCCATGCCATGGTATTGCTCAGAGCACTGGGTGGAGCTCTTTATAAAGAGTCAGTAGCAACATATTGCCCGCACGTGTATAATGAGCTAGCCAACCAGGGCCAGGTGAGAATCCTGGCCACAGAAACTCTCATTTTATCCAGAGAAACATTCTGCATCACAATCACCAATACCTCTTGTAAAAGCTTTATAGTATAGCTTCCAGGCTCCCATAAGGATATACCTTATGAGTCATATTACCCTCTCTTTATCCTTAAACTTGTCATTTTAATTACTTTATGTCTTGGTGTTGTTTTCCTGGAGTTCCTTTTGTTAGGGGCTCTCTGTGCTTCCAGGACCTGGGTATCTGTTTCTTTTCCCAGATTGGGGATGGTTTCAGCAATTGTTTTTTTAAAGAGACTTTCTACCCCTTTGTCTCTCTCTTCTCCTTCTGGTACCCCTATTATGTGAATATTGTTTCATTTAGAGTTGTCACACAGCTCCCTTAGTGTCCTCTAGAGTCTAGTGATTCCTTTTTCTCTCTGTTTGTCAACTTCATTGTTTTCCTGTTCTGTAATTTCCATCTCATTGATTGTCTTCTCTACTTGCACTAATATATTATTCGTTCTCTCCACTCTATTTTTCATTAGAGTTACTGTATCCTTCAGCTCTGAGTGGCTCTTTTTCAACTCTTCTACCTCTTTTTAGAAGTCCTTCCTGAGATTGTGAATAACTTTTATGCAAATCAATGAGCATATTTATGACTGTTACTTTGAAATCTTTGTCAAGTAGATTGGTGATCTTAATTTGACTTGTGATTGCTTATTTTAATTTACAAAATGGGTTAAGACACTGTATTCCTCGCCATCTTTCTCCAGACTTGGCATCTTTTTGGAAGTAGGCTAAGGACTTCTTTTGAGTGATTCTTAAGGTTGAAAGGCATTTTATTGATGTAAAATGGTGTTTGGAGCATGAATGAGTAAGTAATTCAAAACCCTGTTTAAATGCAAGCTTAAGACTCTTACAAAGGAATTCCATATTGATGTTAGGCAACAGAGGGAATTCTGACTCCAAGGATTTTTCAGGAAAAAAAGTCAATCACTGGCCACAAATAAAAAGGGTTTTTTGTTTGATTTTTTTCCTTCAACAGATGTTATGGCCAGTGTTGGGTGTACTTTTGAAATAGCCAGCATTTATACTGTTCAAATATAAAGTAGAATATAAGATGAAATTGTAAGGTGATACAAAGATGCATAAGACGTTGGCTTTTGTTAACTTGGATGTCATAATAGACTTAGCATATGTTGTGAAATAGGTGGTCTTACCTGCTGTCATGGTAATACAGAATGCTCTGAGAGTTTCTAAAGGAACCCAAAGACTACCTTAATTCCCTCTAACCCTGATCACTCAGTACTGGCAATAAAGAGAGAATCTTCACATTCAGGGGTGAAAAGCCTTATAACCTCAAGTGTGGGTTACTGGTTTACACTTTATTTTTATAGATCTGTCTCCAGTCATTCCTGCCATATATGTACTGCACTCTGGCCCAAATATGGACCCATTACCTTTGCTTTATTTCCAAAGTCTTGCCAAACTGGGCTCTGATAGTTAAACATATATTTTCTAAAAGCTTGGAAATTACAAGAAGGACTTAAACACAAACATAATTACCAATTATAGATAATCTGACTCACTTGCTATATAGTTTTATTCTCCATGTCCTGTAGGCTCTGTCTCATTTTTACAGAATCTTGTAAGAGGAGAAGCAGCTCACAGTCCTGGAGGGCTGCCTGTCTGTGTGACTTCTGGCCTTCCCTTCCAAAATGCACCTCCAAGCATGGCTTGACTTTTGACATCCAAGGCCAAGGAAGAAGAAAATATTCCTTTTCTTTTTAAACTACAGTCTTCTTCAGTTTTACACCTATTATTTCATGACCTGTTGTTTTGCCAGTGAGTTTCAGCCCTAGACAAGTTCACTATGGACTCAGTGAGACCAAAGAAATGACAGTGGAACACCCTTGGGGTGAAAGTGTTTATACCCAACTTCATTCTCACCTTGGCAGGTCAATCACTAGAATCCTGTCCACTCAGAGCGAGTCTGAATGCAGCAAGCCGGTCTCTGCCTTTGGGCCTCTCTACCCCAGCAGCCGTTTCAGTCTCTGTCCTTGGTGCTGCCACCACTCCAGTCTCGTATCTGTTCTCCTGCAGCCTTGCAGCCATGCCATGGTATTGCTCAGAGCACTGGGTGGAGCTCTTTATAAAGAGTCAGTAGCAACATATTGCCCGCACGTGTATAATGAGCTAGCCAACCAGGGCCAGGTGAGAATCCTGGCCACAGAAACTCTCATTTTATCCAGAGAAACATTCTGCATCACAATCACCAATACCTCTTGTAAAAGCTTTATAGTATAGCTTCCAGGCTCCCATAAGGATATACCTTATGAGTCACCACACTCAGAGGAGACCAAAGCTATAGCTTCCTACCAGGTAATTGGGCATTTTCACCGTAAGCAGTGTTGCTTAATAACACAGCTGAGTTTACTTTATCAGGTTTCCAGGCCAACAGAGCTAGAAAGTTAATCCAAGGTCACACGTATCTTTAGAGAAGAATAACAATTTTATTTACCCTTTATCTCCAACTTTAAAAAAATATCTTACAAAGATGATTGTGTTTTCAAATTTGTCTGAAATAAATGGCTTTAAAGTGGCTTCGTGATCTTCTGACGTGTATCCTTTTTCATATGTGATAAATTTTAGCCTTCTTCCTTTGATTATTTTTCCTTTTTTGATAGGTCGAATCAAATATTCTGAACAGGTGTATGATGCTTGTATGGATACATTTGACTGTCTTCCTCTTGCTGCCCTCTTAAACCAACAGTTTCTGTGTGTACATGGAGGGATGTCACCTGAAATTACTTGTTTAGATGACATTAGGAAAGTAAGTAATCTTCTGTTAGTCTCATGGAGAATTTTTAAAATTTTGTTTTATTGCAGTAAACTAATATGTCTTTATTACTGAAAATGTAATGAAGTACAAAAATGGAAATCACTTGTGATCTTGTTATTGGAAGATATTTACTGTTAACATTTGCTGTATATCTGCCAGAAAATTTCTGCAATTTTTAATGAAATCTGTGTTTCTACCAACCAGAAACATAATTTTTTTTAGTAGAGCCCTGAAACCTTATATACAATGAAGAAGCAAGGGTCCCAATCCCTGTCCTGCAATTAATTGTGTAACTTTGGTCAAATCCTCTTAGTCACATTTTCGTCTCTGTGAAATGAGGAAGTTGGAATGGATCGTCTCAGGACTCTTCTAGCCCTGAAATTCATTTACGGGCATTTCAAATGATAGAATTACTACACTTTATCTGACTTGGTGATTATTATTTTTAGGATTCTATATCGTAATGATTGAAAAAAGATCAGTCTTTCTATACCGACGTTATTCTATTTTACTATCTTCTCTACCTTTGTATTCTCTTACTATATAGTTGTTGAAACTAAAGATTTTTTTGTAAATCTTTTTTTCTCTGAATTGAAGCTACTCCACTGGGGTAAGAGGGTGCGCCTACCCACACTGCCTTTTCTGCTGCATTGTCGTCTTTTAAATAACCAGCACTTCTCCAATTCTGAATCAACTGTATTAGTGAGAAGCTCCCCTTTCACTTGGTAGAATCCTCTTGTTAGTTAGCACTCAGCTGCTTTAGCTATTAGTTTTCTCTTAGATTTTATACTTTTAACCAAAGCAGCAGTAACCAAAGGCATTAGTAACTTACATTGAAATGCTTCCATGTGTAAAATGGAGGATGAAAGCCCTTCACAAAATAAAACTATAGAGTTCTTTAAAATAAAGAAATCTCCATTTGAATGAGATAAACAATGAACCAAACCATTATAAAGCCCTTCCTGCTCTCCATGGTCAGTGGCTCACTTAGTCAATTGAAATGAACTTTACATAGTCTTTACATATATTATTACATCTCCATAGTGGTTGATTTCACATTCAAATTAAATAAGTACCACTTTTAAGATTAGGATGTAAGGGGATCCTTTTCTGTCATATGATTAGATGACAGGGATATTTATAAAAATTTATTACAAAAACTGTGTATCTAAAGTTGTTAAATGTTTGTTTTCTTCCTAAAGGAAAATCCTTTTGGGAGTTTATTACTTTCTCTCTGCATGCATTCTTGTGGGTGCAAGGGGTGTTTTGGGACCCACCCATACCAGTTTCCAAAAGCTCTTTTGCTTTCATGATTTTTCTTCTTTTGGCTTTTGCATGTCTTCCAGTTAGACAGGTTTAAAGAACCTCCAGCCTTTGGGCCAGTGTGCGACCTGCTTTGGTCTGATCCCTCAGAGGATTATGGCAATGAAAAGTCCTTGGAGCACTATACCCACAACACTGTCCGAGGGTGCTCTTATTTCTACAGGTAAGCTAATACTCAGAGTTATAAAATTAGGAAAGGAAATTATAATATACTTTATCAAATTATTTTTAAATATTTTCTATCTTGAATTTGTGTAGTATAGGGACTTCTGTTTAATGTGTGATTAATAGCAGAAAGCTCTTGTTTGTTTTTTATTTCATTAGGTATTATTTCCTAATAAGTGTAATATACCAAACATGGTTGAACAGAACATCTTGCAGTGCTTAAATGTTATCCAACTCTAAATGATCTAGATTATTTGTTCCTAAACATCATCTATAGACTTTTTTAAAAATAAAGATTTCTTGGTTCTTCCCCCAGAGGTTCTGATTTAGTAGGTCTGAGGCAGGGAAATTCTGTTATTTTCAAAAAGCTCCCAGTTTTTAGAACCGCTGATATAGGCAAAGATATAAAAAGAGCAGGACATTGTGAACTAAGACCTGGACATTTCCTGGATGTTGGGTGTTGTCTTAAATCTCATATGTGACCTTTCATTGTGCTTTGCCACTCAAAACTAGGAAGATATAGGGAAGTTTGAAGTCTAAATTTTTTATTCCCAGTATTTTACTGTTACTACTAATAAATCTGTTTAGTCCCCTAAAATCTGTTAATTGCCTAAGATAATGTATTCATTAAATGAAATCCACACATACAAACTAAGAAACCTCAATTTTGCCATAATTTTAGCATTCTTCTAACAATCTTGTTTCATTCCTTTCTGCAACCTTTAGCAGTGACTAATGATGAAGTCACTTAAATTTTGTTCCTCTTTATATTGCTTAAAATAAAGAGCATAATACTTTTTTATTGTTCAAGCAATATACATTGGTACAACTTCTATGGAGTGACTTTAACAGTATCTCTCAAATGCCTGTGGTCCTTGATCCCGAAGTTCTACTTCTCAAACACAATCCTGTGGCAAAGTTCAGTGATGTATAAGACCTATAATTTTGAAACAAATTCACTTTATGTCAATGTGATTTTCCCCTTCCTCATGTTAAAAAAGAATTGTGTTAATTCTGGATTTGTTTTCTAATTTTATTTTTCAGTTACCCTGCAGTTTGTGAATTTTTGCAGAACAATAATTTGTTATCAATAATCAGAGCCCATGAAGCCCAAGATGCTGGGTAAGTTATTAAAACTGCACCAAATATTACCACAAAGTTTTTGCCTTTAATATCAAGACAAATGGGCTGTTATTTTTCTTTCAGGTATCGAATGTATAGGAAGAGCCAAACAACAGGCTTTCCATCACTCATTACAATTTTCTCTGCCCCCAATTACCTAGATGTCTATAACAATAAAGGTAAAGGAGTCCGGCAGTATTTGAGTTTGAATCTGTGAGCTGATGTGAGCTCTAGTTTAATCATATGTATGTGTCTATGTATTTTTTTAATATATATAAATTTTAAATAAGGAAGAAAAGTCTTACAGGACAAAGGCTAAGAAACTCAGGATTTAGACTGCTACTTGGTTTTTATCTCCTAAGAATTTATTGGGCTCTGTGAGTATAAATAGTGACCATAATAGATCTGATTTGTACTACCTTTTATAAAAAGAATAAATTAGTTCAGATTATAGTTAGAATAGTCAGCATAAATTATTTGTTTTGATGAATTATAAATAAATAACAATACTCAATAAAATGTCACCCTTATGGTATTTTAATGTTTGTGAATTATTAATCTGTTTTTACTCTTCTTGAGGAATGGTACTAAACAATAGATAAGTAGAATGAATACTAAACAAAAAGTGAAAAGAATCTTCATGTTAGTCCAAGCCCTGCTGGAAACTAATAGTGTGACTTCAGGGAAGTCACATAACCTTTCTAAACTTCGGCTTCCCGTATAAAAAAGAGGATTGGATATACACATGCCTTTTGAGCCAGAAATTCTACTTCTAAGACTTTATCCTATTGAAGTCTTTTTTTTCCTTAATTTAACTTTTCTGATTCATAGTTCTTAAGTTTTGTGTCAGGGCTGTGGTCCCCTAAAACTTCTTCTGTAACTTCCTCTGTAACTATTTTGTTGTTTATAAAGTATGACTATAAAATAATAGAACGTCTAAGCAAACATGCCAGAACATATATCCAAGTGAGTATTGTCCCTTCAAAGTAACTACCTTGGGAGGTTGTATGCTCCTTCCAACAATGCTGCCATTGTTTGAAACATTTTGGGAACTCCTCTTTTGGTATTGCCTTCAGAGTCTGTGATACATTCTTTTGATTATCCTCAGTGATGGGAAATCTTCGGCCTTTGAGGGTGGATTTGATTTTTTGAACTGCCAAAAGTCATTTGGAATCAAGACTGATGAATAAGGTGAGTGACCAAGCTAGGTAACGCCAATCGGGGTCAAAAACAAGGTATGATTATAAGGGAATGAGACTGGTTCTTCTCATGTTGCTTATAACATGGCTCTGGAGGCAGTGCTGCAAGAGGGGTTCCAAAAACGTTTTGAGTAATGGCAGCAGCTTTGGACTGAATATACGATAAGGCAGCAAGGTGTACTGAAAAGAACAGTAAGACTTAGCCTAGCCTAATCTCACTCTACTTTCAAATTCAGTTAAGATGATCAACTTCTCTGAGCCTCATTTTATCTTTAAAATACCTGATGTATAGTATTGTTGAAGATAAGTTGGAATATTAGGAATGAATATTAAATGCATTGTTCAAACTATAAATTGCTTTGATGCTATTACATTTTACAGTCTTAGTGCCTCGTGTGATTACATCAAAGGACCATACTCATCTGATATGTAAGGTCTGGTGTGTTTTAGTTGGTAGTTTCTTAAGTCTCATTACTTTATAGTCATACCTTGTATATGCAGTTGGGGAGAGTTTAAGAGAACTCCACAACATGCTTACTGTTTACTCTATTTAAAAGTAAACTCGGGAATGGCACATATCATTTAAATCTGATTTGGATCAGTTATCTCAGTGTGTCTTCAGTGACTTGCTATCTATTTTCAAAAAGCATTTCTTTGACTGAGTTTTTCTTCCAGCCTCATATTTTCTTTCTACTTCTCATCATCCTTTTCTGAGTCATAGCTGTCCTGTCCTACAATGCTCTCCTCGCTAACTCCATTTTTAAAATTTCCCTTTTCTTACTAGTTATTACATATTACAACATATTAAGACTTAGTTTTGTTCTGCTTCCTCCTTTATGTGCTGCTTGAGCTGTTAAACTTCTCCAAGAACACTTAGTGACCCTCGTACTTGTATTTGCGAGGAGGACATTCCCTTCTCACTTCATTTTTAAACCTCACTATTAGGAGTATCTCTTGATTGCCCAGTGGTTTATCAGTGGGCTAAGCTGAAACATGTCACTTAAATCGGCAATCACTTTATTAAACTGCCAGCTCATTTTTTGCCCCATTCTAATCTGGTTTTGTTCTTGATTGCTCCTTTAGAAGACTTAAAGTTGTAGTCTATTCTACCTGAGTTTTCTGTTGGCTTTGACATAATTGGTAACTTTATCTTGAAATAATATTACTTCCTTGTTTGTTTCTTAAACATTTTTTTAAGGAAATGTAGCATCTGAAACAATATCTGGTGGTCTCAGTTACTCCCCATACAATACCTCTTTTCTTGAGAAATCCAACTCTATCCCCCTTTCCTTCTTCTCTTTCTCCTACTGTTGCATTTCTGTCTTGAATATTCTTTAGACTTACTGGTACCCACAGGTATTTCTTAGTTCCATCGGTTATATGAAACACCCTCAAGTCATAATTTTTAGAGATTTTTGTTTCTATTTTTTTGTGTCCGCTGGGAACATACCTAATAACTCTAGTTTCTAATCATCTACTGTTGAGACCCACCTCTCACCTATTTTTCCTGTGTAGATTGGGGGAATTGTTGAAAAATTGTATGTTCATCTAGCCTAAATAAAAAATATGCACAGAAAATAATAGGGCATGTACATTGTAACCAGAGTTAGGTTATTAAGAGCTGGAGAGCCTGTTTTCATGTATTTAAAACCTATGGTGTGCACTTTACATATTCAGTAACCTAAACTTTGAGAACAAAAGGCTATCCTATAATAAGCAAAGAAACAGGAACCAGGAGATGAGCTATATCTGTCATTTCTAGAGAACTATTATGTCTGATTCTATTTACAATCGCAGTAAGAATAATTAAGAGAATAATGCATACAATATTGCAGTGCTGGTGATGGGGACTAAGGAATTGGATTTTAAAACTTTTAAAATATAAATAATCAGTTTGGTACCAAAGTATGTGTGCAAATATATGAACTGGTTAATAGTAAACATTTATAGAATGCCAACGATATACTGTACTGACTGCAAAGGAGAGCTTGGTATTCTTTTATCCACTATATTATATGCAGAGATGATTTAATCTACTAGCGAACATTATTGTAAATTGCTCCAAGTTTACCGCCTATATCCCCCACCATGAATTGATAATTGCTAAGTTATAAACTCTCAGAGAGTTTATAAAATTTTTGGCTCTGGCTAATGACAAGCAAAACAGGTGGGGTCCATTTAATGAGAAATGTTTGCCTTCAAAGGAGATTTATAATTATAACCATTTGACCTATAAAGGGAAATTATGATGACACTAGTTACTGTGTAATGACTCTTTGAAGTTTCAGAGCTCAGTTTCTTTTGTACTTTTATGATATGGGATCTTCAGGTAATTTTGTTCCATGGGATAATTCTTAAAAGAATGAACTACATAAATTGCTTTAAGATTTTTCCATCTGCCCTTAAATACTGGGGCTTGAATTTACAAATGGAAAGTAAGTTCCTGAATTGCATGCAGTTAGGTGCACAACTGTACAATGCATACCATTTGCCGTGTCATGTTCTTCTGTGCCAGATCTTCCTGATTTTTCCTTTTTAGCTGCTGTGTTAAAATATGAAAACAATGTCATGAATATCAGGCAGTTTAACTGCTCTCCACACCCCTACTGGCTTCCAAACTTCATGGATGTTTTCACGTGGTCTTTGCCTTTTGTTGGGGAGAAAGGTAAGAGAATTAAAGCATCTAGATGGACCATTATTTGCCTTAATAGTGCCTGAACACACTCTGAAATTTGCATGAGCCCCCAGTGGTGCAGAAATGTTTTTCTTAAAATTATCATAAATATTTTCTAATTATCTTTGTTCTCTACAAAGATTTTTAAATGGCACTTAATTGGCTTTTAAATTACAGTGCTAGTTGACTATGTTCTTAACCCCAAATACCAATTTAAAGTAGCTGTCCTACTATGATCAAGATATGGAAATAATGCACATGACTATACCATTCTTTCAGTGATTTCTTCAGCAATAGAGATTTAAATAGGAAATACTTTAAATTTTCCTTAGAATTTTATTTGTACACCTATAGAAATAAGCTATGAAAACATAAAATAAGCCTGTTAGACATAGACTTGGTGGCTTAACTTCCTTGTAAAACAGGAATAAATCTTTTCATGTGCGTCATCAGTGAGGAAAAGACTGGCCAGCAGGCTAATGAAATGAAGTGATTATGCTGTAGTTCCTTCAAAGACCCCAGACTTTTACTGGGGCAGGTCATCTCCTCAAACTCTATGTAAGCCTGAAGGTCTACCTTAAATGTTACTCTTTATAACTACTAAATAGAAAATCATTTTTACATATGTTTGTTTAACATGTATATTTATTTAGACACCCAGATTATTTTAGAGCGAGTACCTCAGTAATTGTATAAATTTTGGGTTATTTTGTTTTATCATCTAGTCACAGAGATGCTGGTTAACATTCTCAACATATGCTCTGATGATGAATTGATTTCTGATGATGAAATTGAAGGTAAACTTGCCTTTTCCTCATTTGAATTAGAAATGAAGAATTTGGGGTTTGGTTTTAATTTGTGAATGATTTTCTTTGTCTTATTAAAAAAGAATTGTGTTCATTGTAGAAAAATAAAATTTGAAAAATATAGGAAACCATAAGAAAGAACAAAAAGGTTATCTATAATCCTGTTATCTCATAGCTATCTACTGTTAACATCTTGATGTATGTACTGTGTTAGCTGTCTTTTATCTTTGCATTTATTTTTCCCTTTCTTTTCTGTTAACAAAAATGAGGTCATATGAGAGTAGCACAAGCATTTACTGCTTTTTTATAGACTAATTTTTTTTGAGAGGGCATCTCTCATATTTATTGATCAAATGGTTGTTAACAACAATAAAATTCTGTATAGGGGAGTCAATGCTCAATGCACAATCATTAATCCATCTCAAGCCTAATTCTCGTCAGTCTCCAATCTTCTGAAGCGTAATGAACAAGTTTTACATGGTGAACGAATCCTTACATAGTGAATAAATTCTTACATTGTGAACAGTACAAGGGCAGTCATCACAGAAACTTTCGGTTTTGATCACGCATTATGAACTATAAACAATCAGGTCAAATATGAATATTCGTTTGATTTTTATACTTGATTTATATGTGGATCCCACATTTCTCCCTTTATTATTATTATAATTTTTATTTTTAATAAAATGCTGAAGTGGTAGGTAGATGCAAGATAAAGGTAGAAAACATAGTTTAGTGCTGTAAGAGGGTAAATGTATATGATCAGGTGTGTGCCTATGGACTAAGTATTAATCCAAGCTAGACAAGGGCAGCAAAACATCCACGGATGCAGAAGATTTCTCTCAAAACAGGGGGGGTGAGGTTCTAAGCTTCACCACTGTTGATCCCCAATTTCTCACCTGATGGCCCCCCTGCGACTGTGCCTGTCTTAGGTTGTTCCTCCCTTGAGGAATCTTACCTGTCTCTGGCTAACCAGTATAGACTAATTTTTAATAGTTATATTGTTGTCCTTGTCAATGACTCTTTGTTTTAACCAATCCCCTGCTATTGGGTATTGGATTTTTTCTAATTTTCTCCTTTTAAAACTCCACAGTTTTGAAAATTCTTGTAGACATATCTTTGCGCACTCTGTCAACAACCAGTATTTTCATGCCTATTATGTGCCAAGTAGTGCTTAGGTCCTTGCACTCAATAAGCTTATATTCTTGTGGAGGGAAGACAATAAATAAAAATGTCAGGTGTTGATTTATGGTACAAAAGAAAGGAAAGTAATATTAGGAAATGGAGAATAACATTTTCTTGATTATTTCCATAGGATAAATTTCTAGAAATTGAATATCTGTGTCAATTAGTAGTTTAAATTTTAAATCGGATACAGATAACTACAAGAAAGGCTGTACCATTTATATTTGCGTTTCTGATGCATAGCTCACGATGCTGTCTCCAGTGCTGTTTACTGTAATTTTTATAGTCTGTTGTTTTATTTTAATTTGTATTTTTATGGTGCTAACAAACATTATCTTGTGTTTATTGACTGTTTATTTCTCTTTTGTGAATTAGCAATTCATACCTTTTATATACTGGCTCATTTTTCTACTGGATTATATGTACATTTGTTTTTCTTCTTATTGGCCTGTGAGGGATCTTTATATAGTAACATTTTATTATATATACAGCCAAGTATCTTTTTCCTAATGTGTTGTGGGAGGTTTGATTTTAAAAATAGGTCCTAACTTTGCTGAGAATGCATAAGTTTCTGGAAAGATGGTGGTACCTGAGTACAAAGCTCTGGCTGTTTCATTCTTTCCAATGTCTATGCTAAGTTGATTCATTCAACCGTTAGGATACACTGACTGCATAGTGGAGAAAGCCTAGCTTGTTTGGGAAATATGGAGGAGAGTCCTACACATACTTAAGACTCAAACAGTCCACACGGAAGGTGCAGAGCAGATGGAGCATAGCTTGTGAGTATCTTTATGTATGGGATAGGCAGTCACTACAGGGAACCCATTCTTGAGGAGTAAGTGCAGCTAAGTGAAAACTAAAACAAATAAGAATTTAAGTTAGAGGAAGATGAAATATGTAAGAAATAGGTCTAGTAAAATTTATATTCAAATCTAAGTGGAAATTTGTGTATACTCTATTGTATGTATTAAAACAGGATTCTTGATTATTATAAGATATGCTTATAAAATTATGCCAAAATTGCATATGGGAATATTACTGAAGTATATAGTCTGTCATAGCAAAAGATTCAAAACAATCTAAATATCCCTCAGTGGATAGCTGGGTAAGTCAATTATGATATATCAATATAATAGATTCTCTACATGAAATATTATTTCTTTTATGTACCTTTCTCCCTTTCTTTTCTAGTTAGCTCCTGTTCAGCTTATTTTAACTTCTTCATGCAAGACATTTCTGACTTCCCTGACTAGATCCAATACCCCGTCCTCCTCCCTTATATCACCACTTACCTCCTTAGCATTTGATAGAGTTACGGTTTTACATTTATTTATAATACAGACCTCATTTTATTGTGCTTTGCAGATATTGTGTGTTTTACAAATTGAAGGTGTATAGCAACCAGGTCAAGCAAGTCCATTGGCACCATTTTTCCAACAGCATTTGCTCACTTCATGTCTCTGTATCACATTTTGGTAATTCTTGGAATGTTTCAAACTTTTTCATTATTATTACATATGTTAGGGGAATCTGTGATCAGTGATCTTTGACATTACTATTGTAATTGCTTTGGGAGCCATGAACTGTGCCCACATGAGACGGTGAACTTAACTGGTAAATATTGTGTGTATTGTGACCACTCCACTGACTGGTTGTTCCCCCATCTCTCTCCCTGTCTTCAAGCCTCCCTATTCCCTAAGACAAATAATATTGAAAGTAGCCCAATTAACAACCCTGCAATGGCTTCTAGCATTCAAGTGAAATGAAGTCACACATCCCTCACTTTAAATCGAATGGTAGAAGTGAGAGTAAGCTTAGTTAGGAAGGCATGTCTACAGCTGAGATAGGCTAAAAGCTAGCCAAGAGCCAAACAGTTAGCCAAGTTGTGAAGCAAAGGAAAAGTTCTTGAAGGAAACTAAAAGGGCTAGTCCAGTGGACACACAAATGATAAGAAAGCAACACAGCTTTATTGCTGATATAGAGAAAGTTTTAGTGGTCTGTATAGAAAGTCAAACCAGCTACAATATTCCCTTAAGCCAAAGCCTAGTTCAGAGCAAGGCCCTTCTCTTCCTTCTATGAAGGCTGAGAAAGGTAAAGAAGCTGCAGAAGAAGAGTCTGAAGCCAACAGATGTTGGTTTATGAGGTCTAAGGAAAGAAGCTGTCTCTAAACATCAGAGTGCAGGTGAAGCAGCAGGGGCTGATGTAGAAGCTGCACAAAGTTATCTAGAAGATCTAGGTAAGATGCTACACTAAACAATAAAATTTCAATGTAGATGAAACAGACTTTTGGAAAGAGGTGCCATCTAGAACTCCAATAGCTAGAGGAGAGAAGTCAATACCTGGCTTTAAAGGACAGGCTGACTCTCTTGATAGGGGCAAATGCAGCAGTGACTTTAAGTTGAAACCAATGCCCGTTTATCATTCTGAAAATCACAGGGACTTGAGGAATTATGTTAATCTACTGTGTTTGTGCTCTATAAATGGAACCACAAAACCTGGGTGACATCTGTTTATAATATGGTTTACTGAATATCGTAAACTCACTGTTGAGACCTATTGCTCAAGAAAAAAAGATTCCTTTCAAAATATGACTCCTCATTGACAACACAGCTGGTCACCTAAGAGCTCTGATCAAGATGGACAATGAGATTCCTGTTGTTTTCATGCCTGCTAACACAATATCCATTCTACAGCCCATGGATCAAGGAGTCATTTTGACTTTCATGTCTTATTACTTAAGAAACACATTTTGTAAGGCTACAGCTGCCACAGGTAGAAACTCCTCTGATAGATCTGGGTAAAGTAAATTGAAAAAGTTCTGGAAAGGATTAACCATTCTTAACCGTTAGCCATTAAGAACATTCATGATTTGTGGGAAGGGTCAAAATATCAACGTTAACAGGAGTTTGGAAGAAGTTGATTCCAGCCCTCACGGATGACTTTGAGAGGTTCAAGACTTAAGTGGAGAAAGTCACTGCAGATGTAGTGGAAACAGCAAGAGAACTAGAATGAAAAGTGGAGCCTGAGGATGTGACTGAATTGCTGCAATCCCATGATAAAGCTTGAACAGGTGAGGAGTTCCTTCGTATGGATGAGCAAAGAAAGTGGCTTCTCAAGATGGAAGCTACTTCTGGTGAAGATGCTGTGGAGATTGTTGAAATGACAACAGAAGGTTTAGAATATTACATAAACTTAGTCCATAAAGCAGCAGCAGGGTTTGAGAAGACTGACTGCAATTTTGAAAGGCATCTGAACTATTGGGAAAATGCTGTTAAACAGCATTGCGTGCTATAAAGAAACTGTTCCTGAAAAGAAGAGTCATTCAGTGTGGCAAACTTCACTGTTGTCTTACTTCGAGAAATTGCCACAGCCACCCTAACTCCAGCAGCCACCGTCCTGATCAGTCAGGAGCCCTCCATGTCAAGGCAAGGCCCTCCACCAGCAAAAGATTATGACGCACTGAAAGCTCAGATGATGGTTAGCACTTCTAAATTAAGTTAGGTGCATTTTCTTAGACATGCTATTACACACTTGGCAGACTACAGTACATTGTATACATAATTTTTATAAGAAATGGGAAGCCAAAAATTCATTTTAGTTGCTTTATTGCCCTATTCATTTTGTGACAGTGGAACCAAACCAGCAATAACTCTGAGGTCTGCCTGTATATTTTATCCCTTGTCAATTGTAAACTGCCTTAGTGTTGAGACAGAATTGGTTTTTGTTCACGACTATAGTGGTGAGTACAAGTACAGTGAGGTGGGCATAGCAAATAAATATTTATTGAGTTAGGTTGAATGACATGA